GGGGGAGAAGGCATGGGTTCTAAACGTAAACATCCGTCAAGCAGTCACGAATCACCTTAAATGCATTTATTTTTATATCTCTTTTTTTTTTAAAGTATGAATGTTGTGTGGGTGATAACAATGTTCTTTTTTCGTTTGGAGAAACGCTTCGAAGAAAATGTAAGTACAGGTCAAGAAAAATGATATTTCTGTTTCCAGTCTCCCTCCATTTGTCGAAGGTCCCAATTAGCACTCCCGTGGTCGGGAGGTTACAGTGTTCGCCTCTGGAGCAATAGGCTCTGGGTTCGAATCCGGACAGCGATGGAACATTTTCTTTTCTAAAAATTATGTTCTCTTGTGATCTCATTTCTCGCTCTCTGGCAATGTTCTGTCGTCAGCTTTCGTCTCCGCTTTCCGCCCCCATCCCCTCACGGCCTCCTTTGCGACCCCCCCCCCCCCTCTGGGCCTCTTACTCTTTCCACAGCCTTCTGCTGTTACCCCTTGGCTCCCTACAACAGTCTTTCAGCCACACCTATGATCTTATGTTAGGAAAGATCTACACCTAGCCTTCTCGGATAAGGGCGGAAAATCTTGGAGGTCCTGTGTGCAAGTTACTTACATTAAAGATCCCTTAGTAGTCCAAAATCGATAAAAGCAGACTTTAGCTGCCATCCGGGCAAAATTCAAAATTTCCTACCAACTGAAAATGTTTAATGTGTCCCGCGTGCTCATATTATTCTTATGCAGTCTCGAGCGCCGTAAAGCCCTCCCCTTAATTCTATCCTTATTCTATATATCTTTGTTAATGCATTATCGATACTAATTGCCGCAAAAGTATCTGCTGCAAAATGGATGTAATTTTCATCTTTTCAAACATGTCTTGCCGCAAAATGATATAATTTTTACTTTGTTTGTTTATTATTTGTTTGTTTATTTGTTTTTGTTTGTTTGTATGAGTTTGGGTTTTTTGTTTATTTGTTTTGTTCTGTTTTGTGTTTGTTACTCTCTTGTTTTTCAGCATGTTCATGACCTTATGGTGCTGCAAGAGCAGTAAAACTCTTACGAAAACTAAAACTGGTTTACAAAGACTGCGGCCGATAACATTGACGTGGAGGAGATTATTCCGAGATAAAGTAAACGTTCTGAATAGCGCCAGCCCAGACCCTTATCTACCTCTTGCAGAGAGGGGGGAGGAGAGGACGTATAGAGCAGGGCTTAACGTAGGATGGAAGTGCAGCTACGGAGGGAAAACGTCAGACACGTTAGAATGCGAGTTGTGGTGTATAATAATAATTAATAATTGCATTTATATAGCGCATATCCATGCTCAAGAGCATGCTCTATGCGCTTTACAAGTATTATTACCCCAGCCACAGAATTCTACACTTACTGTGACCCCAGCAGACCCTCTGAGAAAACTCAGAAACATTATCGGCTTCCGAGGAAGCATACAGTGCAAGCTGCGGATTTCACGCGCTCAAACACTATCAAACTGACAAGA